CTTTTTTCTACCGGATGATTCCAAAACAAGAGCCTCCTCACTTGGCCATTGTCAAGCTGCTCCTGCATTTCCGATGGATGTGGATCAGCCTCGCTGCTCCGGACAATGAAAGTGGAGAAAATTTCAGAAGAAGCTTTGAACTTGTGGCCATCAACAAAGGCGTTTGTGTGGCCTTCTCAGAAAGCATCCCGGCTCTTGATAAAATGAAAAGAAAGGACTTCCTTCTATATTTTAGCAACAGTGAAGTAAAAATTATTGTTTGTCAGTTGGACTTTCAGGCCACATTAATATTATCAATGCTAATAATAGAAATTGAAAAAGCTAAAAAGGTGTTTGGGAAGAAAGTGTGGATTGCAACAAATTTGCTAGACATATGTGTGAGATTTTTTTATCGAATGATCAATCTGCAGGATAAACATCTTTTGTTATCTTTCTTAACTCTGGCAAACGAAAGGACACAAAATTATGATTTTAACATTTATTTCTCTGACAATGAGAACTTTGGGGAGACAGCATTTCAGTGTTCCTCTTCATGGCCTGTTTTATCTAAGAAAGTCTGGAAAAGATGCAGAGAAACAGAGAAGTGGGAAATGCCACCCCTTGATGTGGTTGCAAGAATCCTGTCTGAAGATGCCGCCAGTATTTCCACTTCAGTCCAGGCTGTGGCCAAGGTCCTCCATGCGGTTTATTCCTCCCACCTGAGTCGGAGGAGAATTAGGGTTGGAGATCATGTCATACCCCAGGTGGTACAGCCATGGCACGTAAGACTTTTCTCTGAATTTCTGCTAATGATCCCCCTTGAATTCCTTTTTTTTAAAATAATGATTTTTATTAGAGTTTTCAAATACAAAGATAAGAAAAATTAACAAAACTAAGGAAATTATAAAGAGTAAAAGAAGAAGAAAGAGAAGTGTAAAGAGCTATAGGAAAGAAAGAAAGAAAGAAAGAAAGAAAGAAAGAAAGAAAGAAAGAAAGAAAGAAAGAAAGAAAGAAAGAAAGAGATTC